ATATATATTACAGTAAAAGTAAGGACAACAAGATAGGACGAAATGCAATATACCTTTAGACATCTTGGTTATCGGACTTTTTTGTGTTTTTTGTTTCAGATTTCGATATTTTCGAACTCAGAGGTATACAAATTCTTGCACAGATATTAACAAACAACAACTGAAACTTTCAACTGTCGAAGTTTCAGAGACTTCTTTTTGCCATCACGTCGAGTTCAAATCCACCTCTCCTCAGTTCTGACGTCATCACCAATCTATTTAGCGTGACGGAATCTAGGCCTAATTTATTATACAGTCGTCTGTCCCGTTGACTTCCCCACGCGTCAGTGGGTCAAAACTGTGGTGAGACTGACCACTGACCAGTGTGACGGAATTCGTTCGTGATGTGGCATACCCTGATCTAATCACGTGACCAAAATGTCGTCGGGTAGTTACGACCTGGCTGGGCGACGGGCGCAGTCGCTGGGCCAAGCGCCGTCTTTCATGCCCACTTTCCGGACAATCCAACCCGGGGAGAAGAGTGGCAATGGGTCAGTGGACGAGCCACATGGCGAGGGTGGAAACCATTTAGAGAGGCCAGTGGATGTGGAGTTCCCTGTGATGAGCTCTGGTGCTGGAGATAGTGAAGGAGTTGTTTTGGTCAGCAGGACTCCAGTGGCGAGTGCCAAAGACAGTAGTTGGGAAGAGTACGAGAGAGCTGCATCCAGGTCGATTTCTCTTGAGGAGTCACCCCCGCCTGCCCAGTCTACTTCTCTCAAATCTAAGTCTAAATCTTTGGAGGGAAAGAAATCTGACGCTAGTGACAAGAATAAGAAACTTGGAAGTGGAATTATTGAATACTTCTCCAAGAGCTGGAGAAAACGAGGTGGACCAGAATCAGAGAAGCAAAAATCGAAAGACAAAAAGAAAAAGAAAAGGAAGACAGCAGGGAGTAAGTCTGACAGCAGCTCAAGCGAAAGTGACGGTGAAATGTGTGAGGTGCCGCCCCCTCAAACCGGAACTCCCGGGACACCGGAAAGAACAGGAGGACTTGATGCTGTTACGGCCCTTGTCGTTTCCGGGCGGGGAGACCCGGATCTTGATGCGGTGGCGGCGTTTGTCGTAGGCTCTAGGCCTTCTGGTGATGGTCAGAGTTCGAGACCAGCGGAGACAGATGGATCTCCAGACGACAAAGATTCGGAGCCGTTTACATCTTTCACGGCCGAGCAACTCGGTTCTCCAGCGACATATGGGTGGGCGGCTAACGGGGGTGACGACGATCATGCCGTGTGCGACTCTCTCAGCGACGCCAGTGACATTGTTGTTGACCACATCATGGAAACACAAACTGTCCCGAAGGACTACACACCCAATGGGAATGCCACCAAACATACTGGGGACGTTTCTGAAGCCCCTGGTAGATCTAGGGAGCCTACGGCTTCAACGTCTAAGAAAGATTCCTCATCTTCTTCAAGCAGTAGTTCAGACGAGGAAGCCGAAAAACACCCCGAAAGCAGTAGCAAAGCCTGTCCTAAAAGGAATTCTGCCAGTTCGTCAGAAGTAAGTCAGCACAACCTAAGTATGTCAAGCCAAGGAGGGGGGAGATCAAAGGCCTTCAAACTAGAGGCTACTGTGATGCTGGACCCTGACGAGCGTGTGCAGGAAAATCTGATGACCTACTTTGGCCCTGTCTACCTCAGACCACAGCCTGGAGGGAATGGGTTGCAGGTGGTGGCCAGTCCAGATGTTGACCGCTCCCTGAGATCACCCACACCATCGGAGGAGGAGGAAGTAGCAGCAGCTGCTGGGGCCAAAGTCTCGGGTGAGAGATTTTATTAGTTAATAAATGTTTCAGACTGTTAAGAATTTCTTGTAGTGAAAAGAAATCTATTTAGGTAGTACCTTAAGAAGCCCAGGTGGACGACCCGCTGTTAGAAACATTCGAGAAAAGACAAATGCAGATTCTGAACTCTAGACTAGACATAAAGGCTTTGAAAATTTAGCTCTCTCTCCCTTGTAAAAAGTAAAGGCAAATAAGGCATGGGTAGACCAAGAGCAGCCTACATGGAGAGCAAAAACAAATAGATGGCGAGGAAAAGGGCCTGATAATATAACTTTTTTCGAGTATCCGAGTAAATGGCGAACCATGATCGCTGATGTCTGTCTCGGATCTGGCACTTGATTATGAAATGTGTATCTCGTTAGAAATCTACGACGCACATCTACACGACAAGGGTTATTTACAAATACTCAAATATTGATGATGAATAAGAGACGAAAGGCTGGTGGTTGGAGGGTACCACTTAAAGGTACTACTTCTTTTCTTTCTCTCTGTTGTTTCTGTCTGTCTGTTTAGCTTCTTTCATGCACTATATGGCCGTTATTGTGTCGATGTGCTTCTCTTTACTCAAACTCAAGAGACGAAAAGAAGACGCGTTGGGCCTACTGATTGCACTTCTCGACAAGCTGTTTAGATTCGGATACTGATTCACTTATAGTAGGAGTGACCTAATGGAAGAAGGAAAGGAACGTTAAGGGAAAGGGTGATGATGCGTGTTTGTAATGTGGAAACTGATTAATAATTAAAATTTTTAAAAAGAATAATGACAATGTCATTTCTATAGTGTATTATCCTCGCCCAACAGCATGCTCTATGCGCTTTACAACTTCCATCAGATTTTAATTGTTTTTGCGATATACTTTTGGATAATGACATCATCAGTGATGGCGTGTTTCTTGTTTCGGTTTTCTTATGTGAGTTGGGTTTTTTTTTGTTGCTGTTTTTTTTAATAGTTAGAATACAGAAAAGCACAAAAACACATCAATTTAGTGCATGAAGAAAGCGAGAACGGCAAACAGAAACAGCACAGGGAAGATGGGCCAACGTATGGTGTTCTCCAACAATTGAAATAATCTTAATCCTCTAAATATTAATTCAACATCAGAGTGTAATTAAAATATAATTCCTTCAGACTAAACTTTCTTACTCTTGGTTTACCAGCCTGCAAGTTGCTATTCCACTTTTGCTTAGCAAAAATACGAACTTTAGAAACTCAACTACCACGACTGGGAGAGAAACCCGTTCTTGGGAAGGGGGAGTGGATGCCGGGCTCTTTTTAAGCTTCAGACAGCTAAGAAACCTCTAATATTCACATGCCTTTAAAAAAATTCTAACCTGGTATGAACACACAACACCCCACAAACCAATCCCCTACACACACATACACACACACACACACATATACACAC